ATTTTGGTCTCTCCCTGGCCGTCTAGCGCCGCGCGAAGGAAGGAGGGTCGAACACAAAACAGTATGCACACGAGGGGTATAACAAACAACACACTACATGTAATACTGCTGTAGGGCCCATATGCACTTCCCCGGTTGCTCCATTCAAACATGAATATGCATTGCCCACATCAAAATGAAAATATGGTAGCACGGATGCGCCGCGGTCTGCGACATCACACCAGACATCACGCACTCCCCCATCGCGAGGACCTTCACCACGAGTTGCCTCCAACATCAGGACGCCAACTCACCCAATTGCATACGCGGACTCGCCTACAACTTTTGCCATGCCCACAACGCTCACCAGAATGGCGTAGGTCTGCTCGATTGCCATCCGGCACTGAGACCCGTAGTAGTTGCAGGCGTCTTGGCTGGCGGAGAGGCTCGTCCCCGGGAACGGGACGACGACGCGCTCGGACGCCCCATAAGCGGCGTCGCCCACGACGAAGTGGCCTTCGGGCAAGCCCGCCAAGAGCTTGTCGAACCCCGAAAAGTTGAACGCGGTGCGGTCGTTTTGGCTGCCTGGGCAATTCATCGTCCAGGCCATGATGCGATACTGGGTGTCGCATAGTCTACAGCCTGAAGCAGAAGGAACGTGTGCATGAGCATGTATGTGAAATAGCCCTCAACCAAAGGCGATATTTTTCGAAGAGAACCATCAAAGGAGGACGCCACGTGCACATGCCCCCTCAGTACGGAGAACGGCATGCACGCGCCTGCACAAACTTCCCGTAACAGTAGTAGTAGTAGCACTGAGGCCCATTCCAGCCTGCGCACAAAAATAAGAGCCCATGACGCGCCTCGACAACACTGCTACCTACAAAGTGCGCACCCTTTGATGAATCTTGTGCGTTGTGGGGTGGGAAGACACACTTGGAAGCTTCGTTTGAGCTATCGTGCACAACCGCACCCAGAGGTATGTATGTTCTACTGCTGTACTGCCCTGATGTTCTACCCCCTCAGCATATATATTTTTTTGTTTTGATTTTTTCTTCTCCCATCATTGGACTCTGTCGTCTGCCCCTCTGGCCCCTATCCTCCACTTCTACCAGCTAGACGACCCAAGCGGGGTCACATAGGAGGGGGGGGCTGGACCCCCTCCTGCGGTTCCTGCCTGAGGTATTGTTATCGCGAGAAGGGTACAGCAATCCCTTCCTTCGCGACTTACGAAGTCGATCATGGTTTACTAACNATGCACATACACACCTGGAAGTTCATGCCGAAGCCTTTCTTGTGCCCGTTGTAATACAAGTTGGGCTCTGCGACCTCCTTCGCGCTCGGCTTGATCATCCGGACAAACAAGCCATCCACGNAACTCACTCTGCCGGGACTCGAACCCATGAACTGGCCCTTAGCAGGCTGCAGGTCCGTCGCTGCTTTACAGGCAAAAAGCACCTGGCATCAGGATAGGCCGCCGACCAAGGAAAAAATCTACACATGCATGTGCACGTACACACCTGGAAGTTCATGCCGAAGCCTTTCTTGTGCCCGTTGTAATACAAGTTCGGCTCTGCGACCTCCTTCGCGCTCGGCTTGATCATCCGGACAAACAAGCCATCCACGGCTCCCACGCACTTCCGGACGACATCCATAGAGCTGCGGTTGCGGAAAAGCTATGCGGCTCTGGCAGCATCTTCACCCTCTGGCCACTTGCAGTTCAACTCCGGACAGGCATTCAGGGCGTTGATCACGGTCGGCGTTACGTGGTATGCCGTACTCCAAGCGATGACATGGCCATCCATGCACTAGTAGGTGGACCCCCCCGCGAGCCATCGCAACGTCATCGTGACCTGGCACTCCACCGGGATGGCGCCGTTGCACAGCAGCCCCATCTTCTCGTTCTTCTGTAGGGCAGGTCGCAGGTGATCTACTAGAACCAACCCTGAAGTCATCGAACTCCATGCCAAAGCGCATCGAGAACGTGTGGTCTTGCAGCATCGGCTTGATGTACGTGTCGAAAGGCCGCCTCTCTCGGGCGACCAGGGTGCTGCGGCTCCTCTTCGACGGAGCATCGAGCGCTGCGAGGTTGTCCAAAATGGCCAGTGCATCCAACAGGCTCGACACCCTCTTCGTGACGGAGGCCAGCCCATGGGCACGCTTGGCCTTTCTGGTTGGACTGACAGCCATGGCGGGTGGCTCAGCTTGACACGTGCCGTGGGGGAACGCTGTGGTGGTGGTTTGGTAGCGGCAATGCGCTGCAAAAAATGAACCAGGCACTTTGACTTTTGCCAACAGCTGGGGGGCACGTGCAGCGCTAGTGACGATTTGCACCTACCCCATCAAGTTTTCCGCTCATGCAGGCGTTTTTTCGGTAACCTTCGCGTTCCCGTTAAGACTGCAGGCCCACCTCCCCGCAAAAATCTGTTCTCGATTTTGATTTTTTTTTTTTTTCTGGAAACAAATTTTTCCGATTGCGATCAGACAGGCTCTTACGGTAATTTATCTTTGGCAGTCCGCCCACTTACCTCCCAATCGTTTCTTATTCAAGTTGTGAATATGTTGGCTCCGTAAAGCGCAATCAATCGCTGCGCCACATGATCACAACCCCTCAATAGTGCCACAACCGGCGATATTGAGGGTTTCTGAGCCCTCAATAGCGCCGGTTGTGGCGCTATTGAGGCACTATTCCAATAGCGCCGGTCGCTATGAATAGCGCCGGTTGATGCTCTGGGCACATACCGGCGTTATTGAGGGCCCCCCACTGTACAGTCGACCCCGCTTTGAGGACGCTCGGGTTAAGGAAACTCCCCGCTTCAAGGATTTTTTTTTGTTGAGCACCAGGGGGCCCGGCATAATATACGATAATGGGGTACTCCCATTCTTTCTGCCGCGTACCCCCCTTTTATGTCCTGCAGGTCGCTCTTTCCACTCACCACGCACCACAGTGAGTACAGAAGTAGCGACGCACAGACAGCAGAAGTAGCGAGCGGTCTGCTGCTGCAGCTGTAACTGGGTGTTGGTATGGATCGATTCCTCCCATCTACCGGCGGTCCATCTGATGCCGCCAAACAAAAAGTCGTGAATAACCTCGTCCCTCACCGAGGGCGAGGTTATCTTTCGCTTGGAGCACGTTCGATCCTATTTGTACGCGAAGGGAAGGGGTGGCGAGTACCGTGAGACGCAGTACCTTCTTTCGAAGACCGTTCATTCGTTTACTCATGAAACTCAACAGAGAGAGCCGTAGAGCCAAGCCGCGGGGGGAGCTTCAGGTAACTCTTCGCGATATTATGTGGAAGGAAAAGCCATCAAGTAGCTATTTTGGTCTCCGCCGGGACAGTGATATGTACTGGTGTTCCTCGGTGCGACGCTGAAATACGCTCGTTTTTTTTCTGCTTCACAAGAATGAGATGAATATATGTCTACTTGGACTTTCCTCCTTCTTCCGCTGCCGGCTATGCAGTACATTAGTTGGCCAAGTACAAACTGGTGTACTGTAGTTGTTTTCAACACGTCCCCGACTGCTGTACACCTCATTTCAAGTATTGTGAATATGTTCGATGTCAACAAACGGTTGCCAGTCGTCTCGGCGATGCTGACTTTTCGTACCACACCCTTTCCTTTTGATCAAAAGACGCGTAATTTGAGGTATAGCATGCCTCCATTGGCCCCGGGGATGGTGAGCTACCGTCTTCTGAATTTTAAGGACGCATCCGCTCTTCAAGGACGCTTTTCTCGGGAAAAACCATGTGCGTCCTTAAAGCGGGGTCGACTGCTGTAGTCTATGTGTAAGTGCTTGCACAAAATCCCCCCGCTGATGTTTCATCAGATTGAACGCGTGTCCGCGTGAAGCAACAGATAGTGAAGGCGGAGTTCAACGTGTGGGTCTTTATGAACGGCGTACGGATCAATTTTGCCCAATCCTACGGAAATGCATCCTTCGGCTCACCTTGTGCTCCTCCTCAACGGGCAACCATATCCCATTTTGGATGTCTTCCGACTTGATCAAGGTGAAGGGAGCGGGGTGTGACCCACCGCCGCTACCGTCCGTCCAGAACATCGGATGGGCGATATCCATACGCTGTGACAAACAAAACGGAGCGGGAACAGCAGTGCAGACAAAAAACAAGAGAAGGGGTTCCATTGGATCATCCCAATGCTTCTGTGGAGTCGTATCTATTATCAACGCTATTGAAGCCGCAGTTTTTATGCGCGCGAGAGAGCGGGTGCTTCCTGTGGGCCTGTGGGCCTGAGTATCTTCAACTAATACTCCACATGAACTACTGAACATACGCGGGATATTTCGAGGGAACAAGTGGCTCTATCATCGTGGTGCTTGATAGGTAGGGACATTTGGATGGCTTCAAACGCATAAAACTTGAGGCAGAGACAGCAGCGAGGCTCCGTTCCGCACAGCAAACTTGCGCTGGGCTACACGGTGCACAATGATCTTGATGATCTTGATCGGTGGGGATCACGATCGAGAATCGAGACCTCTTCAACGTCCCGCTCACATGATGGGAATCCAATGTTACGACAATCTCGTCGATGTGCTCAGACTGATCCGTGACCAGTTGCGCGATGCGCTCCGCGTCATCGCTTGCGCCTTGCACGGCTAGCGCACCTCCCTCGTGGAAGTCCGCCTGAGGGTCCACGATCAACAGTGCAGTGCCTCCGAGGCCCGATTCAGCTTCCAGCACCGCCGACAAATTTGAAAGCCTCCGCATATTGTAGTCGACCATTTTTTGTTGTGTAAGTGTACGTTAGCTTCTCCTGTCAGTCCAGCAAGAGAGTGCACATTTGCACACGGCGGTAGTTACGGTCGCAGAACGTGGTAATAACCTGTGTGTCGGGTGAGGGATGCTGTTGCTGTGTGATGACAGACAGAGCCTAGAGCTGGATAGTCGTTCTGCGTTCAGGGGCTCCGTGAGATCCGTCCTTTTTTGTGCACATACCCACCATTGCTTCCCGCGCCGTCCCCAAGCAAAGTGTGCTCGGTTGTGTCAACCACAACCGACGCCACAAAACCAACCCTCGGCCGGACAACACGCCCACTCGGGAGGGGGAGAAGGCTTGGAAGCCCTGACACTCGGTTTTGTGTGGAGAGCGGGGAGAGATGGCGCATGGTGGAGGCCGAGGTAGGGGCATGACCCTGCCGGCATGGATGACAAAGGAGGGCGGGGAGCAGCCGGTGGTGGCCCAAGCACCTCCACCGCCTCCTGGTGGGCTGAACGGTGAGCGAGAGACCTGCTAGTGCTAAACGCGGATGCTTTCACGACATCGGGAAACACGGACTCTCATTCTGCGGTCGTCGCGAAATGTGCTTTGATCTTCACGGACAACGTTTTGTTCACGGCTGCTGCGAGCGTTGCCTCCAGGCGTCCTCGTGTATCCTGCTGCCGCCTTTCGGGACTGCTGTGCTGTGCTGATCCCGTATTGTGGATGGATCCTTACCCTTGCGTCAGCGTTCGTGGTGGGGCGGTGTTGACTACTGCTGTGTCTAGCAAAAGCTTGGCGTGTCTTTTGCGTGTTGTGTTTGTTTCGCTTTGTGCCTGGTTGTCTCTTGTCTTGCTTCTAGTGCTGCCCGAGTTTTCAAAGAGTAAATGCACACAATTTTAGAACAGAGGGCGGGCGGGACAACGTATCGAACGTCGTATGATAACGCTGCCCTCGCTCAGCAGAGACAACGCCATTCGTCGACATGTTCGCCGACGGCCTTGCTTTTGCGTGACGACTCCTCGTCATCGTCCCTGCTTGAACATGCAACAAGATGGCCAGCTCATCTCCTCTACCGTTTGCCGCTGCCTCGTTGTGTGATCCTACGGAATCCATCTCTTGACTTTCCTCGCTCCACCGCCGCGGCTTGACCGTAGGCAACGGGAACGGCTACCCCATGGCCCCGGCACAGGGTCAGTTCGCCGACCCCCCGCCGCCGCCACAGCAGCCGCCGCAGCCGATGTATGCGGCAGTGCCGCCGCAGCAGGCCCCGCCGCCGATGCCCATGCAGCCCCCTCCCCCAGACCAGCGCGACAGGGACGGGAGGGACAGTCGGCGGAGAAGGTCGCCTTCCCCTCGGCGAGACCACAGAGACAGGGACAGCAGGTGGGTACATGTAGCATGTGTCTTGGGTACCGAGGTCATCGATTGTTGTGAGCGGTCGTTGCCTGGCTATTGATGTGCAGTGCCACCCGATCTGCGCGATCAAAACGAAACCTGAGTTTGGGTGGGTGTATTGCAAGACATAAGGCGGCAAGAGGGATCGTGTTTACAAGGAGGAACCGACCGTGTTTGTTTTATGTTTGGGTGCTCACGGCGGATTAGAGGGGGTCTACAGCAGTAGCTGTCGCTTTGAACTTGTGTCAAGAGATGGGCCTTACTTCCACTGTTGTTCGTTGCGATAGCATCATGCCATGCCTGGAGCTTGACTCGACAAGAGGTGTCGGTGTTCTGATATTTTGGGATGGTTTGCAGGTTGCGGTAGTTTTAAAGCGGACAGTTTTTTCATCGTTCGAAGCTCGGCTAGCGTGCGCAGCTTCGGCTACTTGGCAAACATTTGGATGCCAGCCTGAGGCCATTCATGTACGTTGCGCGGGAAGTTCGTGTATAGTGGTGTTTGGCGTGCTTCTGTTGGTGCAGTTTGATCGCATTGAGCTGGACTGCGACACGTGCGTATGTTTGGTGATGCTGCTGTCTCCTGGTCTACAGCAGCACGCGTTCACGACGTCGCGTCAGAGTCGGTGCGAGTAAGAGGCAGGGGGGAGCTTACCCGCCGTCTGCCTTGTGCACGCGTGTCATCCTATGTTTTGTCAGTGCCCATCTCGGATACGCATTCGTGCCTAGGAACGACTCGAAACCTCACCCCTTCGCTGAAAGCCGTGCGCAGACCTCACGCCCGTGTGTACGTTAGCACTCCTTTCATCCCACGCCCACGTACGGCTCTAATTCCATCCGCTTTTGTTCCTCTCCCTTGGGGAACAACAGGCGTAGGGGCGGCAGCCGCAGCCCTCCCAGAGGGGGCGGCGGAGGTGGCTACGGGCGTAGCGGGGGCTACGGCGGTGACCGTGATCGAGGCGGTGGCTACGGGCGCGGAGGGCGCGGCGGAGGAGGAGGGATCGGCGGCGGCGGGGGCGGGGGGCGGTTCGAGAACCCTCGCAACGAGGCGCTGAACGACCGGGACCGAATCGAGCGGCGGCGCAAGCGGAGGGCGTTACGGCCCTCCAACTTCGACGTGAAGCCGGACGACCCGACGGCTGTGGCGTTGCTGGAGGCCAGCGCGCAGCAGATGCTGGTGTCGAGGGGAAGCGGCGTGATGCAGTCGGCGGCGCCGCAGGTGTGTCGCGATGAGACATGGCGCTTCTCTTGTTTTTTTGTGGTGGTGTGCAAAGCTTGCGCTACCTGTAGAGCGAGGCGCACAGTGGTTGATACTGTAGATGTTTGTGTTCGGGTCGTGTAGATGAGGTAGGTGCGTTTTTTTTATTGCGGCTTTACGCTACAGCAGTAAGAGCGAGGATGGTCTTCTGACGTAATATACGTGGACTTATCTCGTCGGCTTCAAAGTTGTGGTGGGAGTAAGACGAAGGCGTGACGTGTCTCGAAACTAGTCGAGTTTGAATCCCTCGAGTATTCCTTAGGAGTAAGAACTATGCTATGCAACCTTCGCCTATTCCATGTACTTGATATCAAGATCCTTGACGACTGTCTGGCAAGCATTGCTTACTACTTCTAGCTAAGAGACGTGGTGTATGTATCCGGTGCACGTTGATGGCATATGGAATCGATGTACTTAGATAACCGGCGAGGTTGGGAGGATCCTGTCAGCGATGTTGCGCTTGTCGGCATTGATGCATAGGCGTTGATTGCTGCTACAATATGTGGTTCGCTTTGTAAAAGGCTGGGCTACTGGCACAACACGTGCACGGGGGGTTCGTTTTGGTTCGGCTGAGACCTATTTCTCCCTCTTTGATATCCATAGACCCCCATCTCGTTAACGGGACTCGAGTGGGATGTGACTGCCAGATCGGGTGCAGCTCCAACGCCCGCCTCATTTGTACCTACTGAGCAGATGCGGTGTTGCGTTTGCGGAAAACACCGTTCTCCCTTTGACCATGAAGCACGCGTCTCCCGCACAGTTGTTCAGAATGTAGTCGATCCACCCTCCGGCTCCTACCACCCGTTATTTTGCGTGCAACATAGCGCTTTTGGGGGTGTTGGCGCCGTACCGTTGACCTCCGTAGGGCCCCCTTCCCCCCCCCCCCCCCCCCCC